GATTACAATATTTCAGTTTATTTCCATCATTAGTAACTGTTTCCCCTGTGGGACAAATAAAGTTAATATTAGTCGTATATTAATAATAGGCTACTTCATTAACTTTGTTATTTACTATCCGTGTTGTAGTATTATTCATAAGAGAAAAAACAACAATAATTTTTTTTCACCATGTTTTACAAAGTCTCTACCCCAGGTCCAAAAGAAATGTAAAGAATTAAGGTACAAACTGAAAACATGAAATACTTTTGTGATCTATTTCCATTTGTTATTTTCAAAAGAGAAATACTGTCATGGATGTTTACAGAGCAGAGGTCACCTTTTTTAATTCCAATGGGAGAGATGGACTTCTGTTTGGCTTTTATTTATTATTATTTTGTGCTGTATTGTTGGTTACTGTGTTATTTCTGTTTCAAAAGCCAGCAATAAATAACACTTTAATATCTAAAAAGTGTTCATGTGATTTTATACATTAGTAATGTTGGGAAATGAATAAATGCATAATAATCGTCATAATCATAAAACCGTGATTATTCCTCAGACAATAATCATACCAACAAAATCTATAATCGTTGCATCCCTACACACATATTCCTCAAAACATTAGATTCATCCACGCTGAGGATCCGTCTGATGCACAATTCCACAAATAACTGCAATTGGAGGTTTCAAATAGAGACGACGACAAAGAGGCAAGACTTGCGGACTGCAGCTGTAGAGTTGATTTTATAAAGAGATTTCCTTTTCTTTATCATGGTTTTTTTCTTTTTGTCATTGAGTCACATACAAAATTATACCTGACCTGTGGTATTACTGTAAACTTGAACCAAATTCAGAACAAGGAATTTCATATACACACTTTAACTTGAATCTGTTCTGTTTTGCAGTTAATGAGTTTTGGGTGAGTGTCCAGAGGACAGAAGCATCAGAGCGCTGTGGTCTTTCTGGTAATTACTGGCTTAGGGCTAATGTGGACAACCTTATCCTGAAGGACCCCAAGACTAAAAAGCATTTACTTGTATGGCCCTACAAGCTTCTCCGGCGCTATGGAAGAGACAGGGTGAGTTTTAGTCACTTCTGATTTTGAAATGTCCTCAATTAAAGCACACTGAGGTTTCAAACCAATAAAAATCAATGTGAATTATTAACAATGATCAATTGCATGACACTGAATCTCTTCTGTGGGATGGTAACAGGTGATGGATGACCTTCAACTCTGACTGCATTCAGTCTTAGCCTTGACTTTGTAAATGCGTAGCTCGCAATCTCATTCCTTATAATGTAGACTGCTTACAGTGCGTCTAAATTAATCTAACTTCTGTTTGCATTAACCCAACATAGTTGCAGACAGCTGGCCTCACACTACAGTTGACATATAAAGCAGGAATTTAAGCAACTGTTGTTTCCAACTCTGCTTTCTGTCATTACTATAGAAACTGCCTTGGTACAGGAAGCTGGCCTTCCTCTCTCCTTTATGAGTGGGTGGAAGGCAGAGCTAATGCGGTGAATGACTACTGAATGCAGGTCATGATGGTTTGAAAAGACTGTAACACTTAAGTTGAGGGACCAATTTTCACTCTTAACTAGTTGCTTATTAGCATGCATATTACTAGCATAATGGCTAGGGGTGCTCCGATTGATCGGCTACCAATCACTATCGGCCGATAATCGCTTTGGTATGTTTGATCGGTGGTCTCTATAAAGGCTGATCTAAAAAAAAACGATCTCAAGCTGATGATGCGCCTGCCGTCAGGTTTGGCATGACATGCAGCGACACCGGCACACTCTGTCCAGCGGGGTGTAAAATAATTATAATGCTGAAGGTGAGGTGCAATTCATATTTCTTCATTAAATAACTTATAAAGTAATTTGAAAACTTTCTGTGAGACATAATTTCACAAACAGCGCGAGCGAATCACCGCGTGCACTCTCTCAAAATGCGCAAATGGCTTCAAATCACATCGCATTTGCGCTATAAGCGAGCTGCACGCTGCACAGTTGACACAGGAATTGTCACTTGCACAATCGAGGCAGTGTCGCATCGTCACTAAAGTTTATCAATCGCATTTCTGTTTAATTCTTGCTTAATAATCATTAAGTAGTGTAATGATTCTCTGCTGGAGAACGTGCACTCATGCACACTCGCAGCCTTTTATTTATTATTATTTTGTGCTGTATTGTTGGTTACTGTGTTATTTCTGTTTCAAAAGCCAGCAATAAATAACACTTTAATATCTAAAAAGTGTTCATGTGATTTTATACATTAGTAATGTTGGGAAATGAATAAATGCATAATAATCGTCATAATCATAAAACCGTGATTATTCCTCAGACAATAATCATACCAACAAAATCTATAATCGTTGCATCCCTACACACATATTCCTCAAAACATTAGATTCATCCACGCTGAGGATCCGTCTGATGCACAATTCCACAAATAACTGCAATTGGAGGTTTCAAATAGAGACGACGACAAAGAGGCAAGACTTGCGGACTGCAGCTGTAGAGTTGATTTTATAAAGAGATTTCCTTTTCTTTATCATGGTTTTTTTCTTTTTGTCATTGAGTCACATACAAAATTATACCTGACCTGTGGTATTACTGTAAACTTGAACCAAATTCAGAACAAGGAATTTCATATACACACTTTAACTTGAATCTGTTCTGTTTTGCAGTTAATGAGTTTTGGGTGAGTGTCCAGAGGACAGAAGCATCAGAGCGCTGTGGTCTTTCTGGTAATTACTGGCTTAGGGCTAATGTGGACAACCTTATCCTGAAGGACCCCAAGACTAAAAAGCATTTACTTGTATGGCCCTACAAGCTTCTCCGGCGCTATGGAAGAGACAGGGTGAGTTTTAGTCACTTCTGATTTTGAAATGTCCTCAATTAAAGCACACTGAGGTTTCAAACCAATAAAAATCAATGTGAATTATTAACAATGATCAATTGCATGACACTGAATCTCTTCTGTGGGATGGTAACAGGTGATGGATGACCTTCAACTCTGACTGCATTCAGTCTTAGCCTTGACTTTGTAAATGCGTAGCTCGCAATCTCATTCCTTATAATGTAGACTGCTTACAGTGCGTCTAAATTAATCTAACTTCTGTTTGCATTAACCCAACATAGTTGCAGACAGCTGGCCTCACACTACAGTTGACATATAAAGCAGGAATTTAAGCAACTGTTGTTTCCAACTCTGCTTTCTGTCATTACTATAGAAACTGCCTTGGTACAGGAAGCTGGCCTTCCTCTCTCCTTTATGAGTGGGTGGAAGGCAGAGCTAATGCGGTGAATGACTACTGAATGCAGGTCATGATGGTTTGAAAAGACTGTAACACTTAAGTTGAGGGACCAATTTTCACTCTTAACTAGTTGCTTATTAGCATGCATATTACTAGCATAATGGCTAGGGGTGCTCCGATTGATCGGCTACCAATCACTATCGGCCGATAATCGCTTTGGTATGTTTGATCGGTGGTCTCTATAAAGGCTGATCTAAAAAAAAACGATCTCAAGCTGATGATGCGCCTGCCGTCAGGTTTGGCATGACATGCAGCGACACCGGCACACTCTGTCCAGCGGGGTGTAAAATAATTATAATGCTGAAGGTGAGGTGCAATTCATATTTCTTCATTAAATAACTTATAAAGTAATTTGAAAACTTTCTGTGAGACATAATTTCACAAACAGCGCGAGCGAATCACCGCGTGCACTCTCTCAAAATGCGCAAATGGCTTCAAATCACATCGCATTTGCGCTATAAGCGAGCTGCACGCTGCACAGTTGACACAGGAATTGTCACTTGCACAATCGAGGCAGTGTCGCATCGTCACTAAAGTTTATCAATCGCATTTCTGTTTAATTCTTGCTTAATAATCATTAAGTAGTGTAATGATTCTCTGCTGGAGAACGTGCACTCATGCACACTCGCAGCACACACACATAAGGCCAGGTTCACATTACTCTGTTTGCAGTGTGTATGCGGTGCGTATTTTTCCGCGCTCATTAGGGCTGAACGATTTTGGAAAATAATTGAATTGCGATTTTTTTTTTACCAATATTACGATTGCGATTTAATATGCAATTATTTTTTAAAGCTCTTTATGTTCTGTATTATTCAACAAAGACAAGCTATAAATCATTGTATAGTATGACCAACACACTATTAGATAGATTAAACCTGTTCTTTTCTGTAGGCCAGGCCTATATGTTGCGATGAAATTAGGTGATGCATGAATTGATATGAATGACATTTTTATTAACTTTTATTTTATTAACTACAATCACAGTAGTATATTGATGGATTTGTTGAACTTCTAACCTTGTAAGCATGTCATAATTATGACAACATAAAGCACTGACAAATAAGCCTGGTGTAAACATTAATATGCAAGTCAGTAACAGATCACACAAACTAAAGTAGATTGCAGAAATATAAAAACAAATCTGTTGCTTTACCACACTACATTAGGTAATTCAGAGTCACTGTAATAAACATATGCAAACATGTGGACTGCACTTTTTAAACACTGTCTGTTAACTTTAGACCAGTGGTTCTCAAACTTTTTTGGTCGCGCTCCCCTTTAAACCTATAAAAAAAAAAATTCACTAAACATTATGAAAAATTAATGCTTTTTTAATTTAAAAAACATTGAAACATAATTTGAAACATTGAAAAATAGCATAGAGAGAATAACTGTTGTTATTATTATTATTCTCTCTCTGTTATTTATTTATTTTTTGTGGGTTTCATGCTGTCCGCTAAGGCACACACACACACACACAGGCTTTCCTCCTCACCAACGACATTAAACACCGTGTCTACACCGGACGCGAGTGGCAAAATACAGTAGAAACTGTAAACTGATGCCTTGTTCTATTTATGACGTACTGACACAAAGTTAAAATGATTTGCAACAGTCGCTTTGTCGCGTTCAGTGTTGACTGTTGTGGCGCGACGTGACAACTGTAGCGTCCGGTATAGACACGGTGAGTGAAGCCGAGAGCAAGATATGCCTCGTCATATTTTCTGCATTTAGCTTTTGAATGACCAGCACCTGCCTGGGTCTATGCAACTTCATCTATGGCTTTTCTCTTCGCTTTCACAAACCGATCCATCTCCCACTCTAAGTTACGTCCTTTGGCTGTTTACTGTTTTATTTCTTTTTTTTTCTGCTGATGGCCCGCGCTCGACTTGAAGCAGCGCTGCTTAGACCGATGGGTGTGTGTCATCAAAGTACTGCGAGAGCTATAAAAGAGCGTGGACGTCTCCTTATGCTTTCTCTCGCCGTCCTTTGATTTCATTCACTGATCTGATCTTCCAGTCCAACACACCTCTTTACTCTCGCGTTTCACGTTACCGAAAAATGTAAAACTCGCGTTTTTTCATATTGCGATATTATCGCAAATGCAATTAATCGTTCAGCCCTAGCGCTCATGATAACTGATTAAACCGCTCACACTGCACACGGTTGCGGTCTGCAGCAGTGCAGAGATCGTTTCCGCACCGAGTCTATTTTTGCTGTGCTGCAAGTGCAAAATTAAAGTAACAGCACATTGATTGCGGTGAATATGAACATGGATTGACACAGAAATGTAGTACCGGAGTCTATTTTTGCTGTGCTGCAAGTGCAAAATTAAAGTAACAGCGCATTGATTGCGGTGAATATGAACATGGATTGACACAGAAATGTAGTACCGGTAATTACACCATAAATGCTTATAATTAAAGTCTACTATGTTTCACAGTCAACACATAGGCTATGGCTTTTTTGCTAGCTTTAAAGGAAAAGAGCACTTTTAGATAAGGCAATAATAGATGGCACTCGTGGAGGTAGTAAAACAAAACTCTTTATGAACCGCAGGATTGCTTGTAATAAAGAATTAAATGCAAAAGAAAAGGCAGTAGAGCTGACTGTTTCTGTCAATGGTAAGTTTTGGATTTGTGTGATAATGTAAGAAAAGTAGTTTAAATGTTTTGCCACTTGCTTGAGCAACTTAATATATCAATCTAGAATAAAGCATTGAATAATGTGTTTCTTATATTTATTGCATTTAAACACGTCTATGAAAGATTGTATTAATGTACTGTGTAAAAAAAAGAATCACAATGCTTTTGGATTTGACATCAAAATAATGGATAAATGTGGTGTTTGTAAACATCCCTGGATCAGTTGCAGACTCCTGTGTGAAAGCACAGTCCGTGCTGCTTCTGCACTGCTTACGTACTGCACATGGACTGCATACACACTGCAAACGGAGTATGTGTGAACCTGGTGTAAAAGGTCGCCTCACATACAGCTCACGAAATCAGGCTTGTGCTGTGTGTAAGCTAGTGTGCCACAATTGCACGGTTGTCAAAACAAAAATGCAGTGCATGATCAAACATTTAAGTGAGATAAATATATATTTTTTAAAAATGTCTAAAAAATCCCCCTCTCCACCCCTCAAATTAAAAAAAATCCCCCTTCACAAGAGTCACCTAAGAGGGGAATTAATTTTCAAAAATGAAATTCAGGCCCTGCATAAATGTCTAAAAATCTTGATTGGATCATCACTATAAATAATTCTACATGATAAAAAGAAGGCTTTAAAAAGATCTATATCGGTGATCGTATCGGAAGATACTGCTTTCTGGGATTGGCCTCAACAATCCTGATCGGAGCACCCATAATAATGGCTGTTTATTAGTACTTGTAAAGCATATATTAATTCCTTATTCTGCAGGGCCATATTTTAGATCCCGTAATACTACCCCATACCTAAACGTAACTACCTTACTAACTATTAATAAGTAGAAAATTAAGAGTTTGAGGCAAAAGTTGTAGTTAATAGTTAATATTGAGAATTTGTCCCCAAAATAAAATGTGACTGGAAAGATTAATAAGCCCAGTGTGCTGGGTCCCTTTTTTCCCCAACTGTTAAAAATATGTTTTAACAAATAAAAACTGAAATTTTTGAAAATAAATAAATAAAACTAAAACACTTAATACAACTACTAAAATTAATATAAAAACTGAAAATATAATATATAATCTAATAAAACAATCTATATAATTAAGTCTGTAGTAGTATATAAATAATGCTAAAATAATATTGATAACATGATGATATTTATTTAAAGAAGGTTCATTCAAAAAGCAAGTTTAATGTCCATGCGCATAAGTGAATAAAACAAAAGTAACAAAATATCCCAAACACTTTGTCACATTCTCTGCAGGTTATGTTCTCTTTTGAAGCCGGACGAAGATGTGAATCTGGGCCGGGGAGCTTCACCTTCGAGACAAAGCAGGGAAATGAAATATTCCACATTGTTGAGGAATCCATTCGGGAGCAGAAAGCCCAAGCTGAAGAACGACACCAAAGTTGTCCATCATTAGACTCAGACTGCCCAGCTCTCCAGCAGATCCGTGCTGCCATCTCAGAAGCAAACAGTCGTGAACCAGATGGAGATTCTGGTGGTAGCAAGCCTGGGTCTGCAGATGGTGTCTTTGGTAGAAAGGAGAACGATGGGAAAAATTTAAAGGGCCGAAGCCTTCCAGAGCCGCCACCTCCCGTTGGTGGGACCCCGCCGCGATCTCCCATGCCACGTGGGTCCAAAAATCTGTTAGAGGACCAAGGGAGTCTATACTCGGAGCCTGCTGACTCGGTCCGTTCGCTGCCCAGCCCAGGAGACTGTTTGTACTCTGACCCGGTAGACAGTATCAAAGTCATGCCCACTCCTAACCCACGTCTCAGGCCGACTGGCGATGATGGGGGTAGCCGCAACCCAGGCATCAAGCCTGATCCATTCTATTCAGACATCTATGATCAGATCAGTCTGGACTTGGTTCAGAGGACAGTGGGATTGGGACTCGATGGGCAAAGTAGGCACCCTGCAGATGGAGGTCCTACAGAGCACATCTACGATGAGCCAGAGGGACGTGCTGGATCTGCACTGCCTATTATCACGCTTTATGATGAAGCACGGTTGGAAATGCATCCCTGGAGAACCAGGGGAACGGAGGAGCCTCAAGGTCACGAGGTGGCTCAACAACCACTGCCAGTGCCCAGACCAAAAGGCCCCAAACCTGTCACAGCACCCAAACCAGGCAAAGTAGCACTGCCCAAGAAAGACCCTCCTCCGTTGCCTCAAATTAAAGGCAGTGTTAACCTGAACAACAATAACAGTAGCAACAGCCACAACAGCACGGAAGGTGGCAGAAGAGGTGCTGGTGCAGGAAATGTGGAGATTTACAGTAAAGTATCTAGACATCAGCCACCTCCAAATGCGTGGCATCCTACCATGCAGTCTCCAGACATCATCTATGACAACTTGGGTGACATTTGACCTAACCTTTCAATTTAGGCAGTCTGGTCTCCTTTTCCTTAACCCTTAGATCTTTAATTTAAGGAAATGTGTTTATGGTTAACAAGGGAGCGCTCAGCATCATTGATTGCGGTGAATATGAACATGGATTGACACAGAAATGTAGTACCGGTAATTACACCATAAATGCTTATAATTAAAGTCTACTATGTTTCACAGTCAACACATAGGCTATGGCTTTTTTGCTAGCTTTAAAGGAAAAGAGCACTTTTAGATAAGGCAATAATAGATGGCACTCGTGGAGGTAGTAAAACAAAACTCTTTATGAACCGCAGGATTGCTTGTAATAAAGAATTAAATGCAAAAGAAAAGGCAGTAGAGCTGACTGTTTCTGTCAATGGTAAGTTTTGGATTTGTGTGATAATGTAAGAAAAGTAGTTTAAATGTTTTGCCACTTGCTTGAGCAACTTAATATATCAATCTAGAATAAAGCATTGAATAATGTGTTTCTTATATTTATTGCATTTAAACACGTCTATGAAAGATTGTATTAATGTACTGTGTAAAAAAAAGAATCACAATGCTTTTGGATTTGACATCAAAATAATGGATAAATGTGGTGTTTGTAAACATCCCTGGATCAGTTGCAGACTCCTGTGTGAAAGCACAGTCCGTGCTGCTTCTGCACTGCTTACGTACTGCACATGGACTGCATACACACTGCAAACGGAGTATGTGTGAACCTGGTGTAAAAGGTCGCCTCACATACAGCTCACGAAATCAGGCTTGTGCTGTGTGTAAGCTAGTGTGCCACAATTGCACGGTTGTCAAAACAAAAATGCAGTGCATGATCAAACATTTAAGTGAGATAAATATATATTTTTTAAAAATGTCTAAAAAATCCCCCTCTCCACCCCTCAAATTAAAAAAAATCCCCCTTCACAAGAGTCACCTAAGAGGGGAATTAATTTTCAAAAATGAAATTCAGGCCCTGCATAAATGTCTAAAAATCTTGATTGGATCATCACTATAAATAATTCTACATGATAAAAAGAAGGCTTTAAAAAGATCTATATCGGTGATCGTATCGGAAGATACTGCTTTCTGGGATTGGCCTCAACAATCCTGATCGGAGCACCCATAATAATGGCTGTTTATTAGTACTTGTAAAGCATATATTAATTCCTTATTCTGCAGGGCCATATTTTAGATCCCGTAATACTACCCCATACCTAAACGTAACTACCTTACTAACTATTAATAAGTAGAAAATTAAGAGTTTGAGGCAAAAGTTGTAGTTAATAGTTAATATTGAGAATTTGTCCCCAAAATAAAATGTGACTGGAAAGATTAATAAGCCCAGTGTGCTGGGTCCCTTTTTTCCCCAACTGTTAAAAATATGTTTTAACAAATAAAAACTGAAATTTTTGAAAATAAATAAATAAAACTAAAACACTTAATACAACTACTAAAATTAATATAAAAACTGAAAATATAATATATAATCTAATAAAACAATCTATATAATTAAGTCTGTAGTAGTATATAAATAATGCTAAAATAATATTGATAACATGATGATATTTATTTAAAGAAGGTTCATTCAAAAAGCAAGTTTAATGTCCATGCGCATAAGTGAATAAAACAAAAGTAACAAAATATCCCAAACACTTTGTCACATTCTCTGCAGGTTATGTTCTCTTTTGAAGCCGGACGAAGATGTGAATCTGGGCCGGGGAGCTTCACCTTCGAGACAAAGCAGGGAAATGAAATATTCCACATTGTTGAGGAATCCATTCGGGAGCAGAAAGCCCAAGCTGAAGAACGACACCAAAGTTGTCCATCATTAGACTCAGACTGCCCAGCTCTCCAGCAGATCCGTGCTGCCATCTCAGAAGCAAACAGTCGTGAACCAGATGGAGATTCTGGTGGTAGCAAGCCTGGGTCTGCAGATGGTGTCTTTGGTAGAAAGGAGAACGATGGGAAAAATTTAAAGGGCCGAAGCCTTCCAGAGCCGCCACCTCCCGTTGGTGGGACCCCGCCGCGATCTCCCATGCCACGTGGGTCCAAAAATCTGTTAGAGGACCAAGGGAGTCTATACTCGGAGCCTGCTGACTCGGTCCGTTCGCTGCCCAGCCCAGGAGACTGTTTGTACTCTGACCCGGTAGACAGTATCAAAGTCATGCCCACTCCTAACCCACGTCTCAGGCCGACTGGCGATGATGGGGGTAGCCGCAACCCAGGCATCAAGCCTGATCCATTCTATTCAGACATCTATGATCAGATCAGTCTGGACTTGGTTCAGAGGACAGTGGGATTGGGACTCGATGGGCAAAGTAGGCACCCTGCAGATGGAGGTCCTACAGAGCACATCTACGATGAGCCAGAGGGACGTGCTGGATCTGCACTGCCTATTATCACGCTTTATGATGAAGCACGGTTGGAAATGCATCCCTGGAGAACCAGGGGAACGGAGGAGCCTCAAGGTCACGAGGTGGCTCAACAACCACTGCCAGTGCCCAGACCAAAAGGCCCCAAACCTGTCACAGCACCCAAACCAGGCAAAGTAGCACTGCCCAAGAAAGACCCTCCTCCGTTGCCTCAAATTAAAGGCAGTGTTAACCTGAACAACAATAACAGTAGCAACAGCCACAACAGCACGGAAGGTGGCAGAAGAGGTGCTGGTGCAGGAAATGTGGAGATTTACAGTAAAGTATCTAGACATCAGCCACCTCCAAATGCGTGGCATCCTACCATGCAGTCTCCAGACATCATCTATGACAACTTGGGTGACATTTGACCTAACCTTTCAATTTAGGCAGTCTGGTCTCCTTTTCCTTAACCCTTAGATCTTTAATTTAAGGAAATGTGTTTATGGTTAACAAGGGAGCGCTCAGCATCAGTGCTCGGATTGAAACCTCAGTCATATAGTCACTGACTGTCAAAATGATTGAGAGCTAAGACTGTACAAAACTTTTATATGGATAATGCCCTCTGAAAGGGCTTGTACTGGCACATGCCAGATTTTTGCACTTCTTGGGCAAAGTAATCCTTTTTGTAAATTTGAGTCTGTGACTTTTGTATCGGAAGAGATTATGAAGCACTTGTCATAACACTCGGCTCCCTGGAGAATCGAGTGTTGTTGTGTGAACGTTATCTACCAGATGTAATTTAATGGTTAAAGTGCAAAGACAAAAAGGTCAGTTTTTGCACGTACAAACCTTGAATTGTTTTGCATGGGGATTGTAGCAAAAGGATACTAATCCACTGCTATGAGTGTGTGTTTTATATGTATGTGAATGAGTCAGCAGCTGTGCTGTTGTTTAACATGATGACGATGATAATAAAAATTATAGTACAAGAGAATTCTCTAGTTATTCTTACTTTTCCATTTCCAAAAATGTACAAGTACATGTACATCTGGACTGTTTGTAAACAGGGCATGAAATCACCCTGAATGCCCGAGCCTTCACTCTCAGTCCCTTATTCATCTAGTCCTCTGTTGTCCTGAACAGTGTCTGACATCTGAGGGATAATCCTGATGCAAAGTGAATATTAACCATCTGTGTAAAATAGGGGCCTTACTTCAAATGGGAGTTAAATGTTGGCTGAGTTAATATGTGTCTGCCTGGCAGTGTGTGAAGGTACAGACTGTTCCCTGTCCTGTTTTCTTTCTCATTCGCCCTCTCACTCATTTCCTTTTGTCCTCTCTCCAGTCTCCCCAAGTCTTTTCTTTCAGTTTTTTTTTCTTTTGAGCGGACCGCCAAAATCTGATCTATTCATCACATTCTGCTGTATTTTTTCAACGTTTAGTGCTCTTAGAGTCCTTCATCTAAAAAGAATGCATTTATTTGATCCAAGGTCTGACTTGTTTAAAAAGCATAGTTTACCATCATACTGGGTTGCAGTGTTTAATTTTAACAGCGGATTACTCATAGGTAATAATAAAGGAAGTGGACTGACAACACCTCTTTTCCCCTCTTTTCTTATCATCATCATTTGCAATCGGTATAGTTTTTAATTTAGTTTGACAGTTATTTGTTTATTTAGTTACTTGCTGTTGGATATAATACAAACATACTGAATAAATATTTGAGACAAGCAAACATTTTTGCAAACTTGTTTCATCATGCTAAACAGATGCTTTCTATTTAGAGACCTATGTTACCACTTGAGCTTTAAATAGTGTATGTGTTTTAAGGAGGTCATGTTATCAGTTTCAGTTTTGGCATCATGTGAATAAAAAAAAAGGTATACATTGGTTCAGTTTGGATGCACTTCTCATGTTGTACTAGTTCCTGTTTTCTTGAATGTTCCGTTTATGTTTTCGTTCCGCTGGCCACTTGATGTTTGGATAACCAAACGGAAAACAGAACTGAGCTGTTGTTCTCTGAAGTATGAAGCAAATGATGGGGAAGTGCATTCGTTACATCTTTCAACTAAAATTGAAATACAAGTATCTCATAGGTTAAAATAAAATCTGTACTGTACTTGGAAGTACACATCATTGAACATCATTTTTGCATTAATCACCTATGTGTATTATTAAATACATCAAATTAACTTTTAACAAAAAGTTTGTAGTATGCACATTGGGAAATAATTAACAAATATTTAACATTTCATTTAAAAAAAAATTTGACAACCCTTATTACTGATTCTTGGTGTAATTAATATAATTGATATAGACAGCATTAAGGTATAGTAAATATAAATTATACTGTTAATCTACTGTATGTTTTATGTAGTTATATTGATTTTTAAAAACTGAGATTGCTAACTTCGTTCCTTTAAAAAAATATGATAGTCAAATTTTAACAGTTTTATTTTAATGGATTATTACCATTTTTTTCCTCCCCCATCCAGTTTTTACAACTTTTAGGCGTGCCTGTTTGATTTCATTCTCATGTAAAATGTCATTTTTAAGGTGTTTTATTTTTAAAAGGGCAACAGCAAAACATTAAACAACATCGATTAATAATTTTCAAACCATTTATAATATAGTGTTAATAAAAATATAGAAGTAATATATATATAAATAAAAAGTGTTAACAAGACTAAAAACTAAAAAAATTATTACAATGAATATTCTTAACGCAGGCTAAACATTAGTTAACCAGAAGTAGAGAGACATTTGGAAAACAATTTCAAAATAAGAGAAAAACTCCCTACTGAATCTCTTTCATAACAGCTGAAAAAGTTAGGAAATCGTGAACGTAAAATATGAAAAAGGAGGGGAAAATGACGTGAGATCCTCTCTCTATGTCTGCTTTTTGTGCCGTTTGCACAATGCCAAACCTCAGCATGATGTCATAAAGACAAGGCGTAGGCGGTGCCAGGTGGGTGAAATGGCGGACAACTTAATGAGGCAATACTGATGGGGTCTAGTAAGAGAGGCCCATTGAGTAATATTAGAGCTCTGACCTCAGTCTGCATTCAGAATCACGTCCCACAGCTCTCGCAACTCTAAACCAGCGCCTCCAAAGCTGAACCTTGTTCTAAGAGGTCACGGGGCTAGACAGCAACCTCTTTCTTTCTTTTCCCCTCTCTTCGCTTTCTGTAACTCATTGAAGGTCTTGAATTCCTGCTCAGCTGAGTACAGTGTGTCTCCCTTGGGGCTGCACTGGAGGCTTCCATAAAGGAAGACAATGGCTCTACTTTTCCACTACTCTGGCCTTCTTCCTCCTCAACTCTCTACAGAGCCTTCTAGCCACAGCATTTAAACTGAGAAGGCAGTTCTTTCTCTTTAAACAGCCTTTCTTCTTGTCTTTTTACAATTCTGTGGTTTTGTGTTTGATTTCTTTTTGCAGCCTCAGCAGTTCGCAATTATATATTTTTTCCCAGTTGCGGTGCAGGCTTTGTTAAACCGTATGGAACAACGTTAGTTTAATTACGTCTCCAAGAGTGAAATCATGCTAGTTACTATGAGGACTGGTTTAATTTCAAATATCAGGGTAACAAAACAGCTTGTTTTTTTTCCGTACTGAGTGTCTGAAATATGAGGGTTGATTTTGCAGTGTCAGTCTCAAAGTTGCTGAAGTTTTTATTTGGAGTAGTAATGAGGTTATTTAATCTGTGCTGTAATGTTTTTCAGATTTAAGAAGATAAATCGAGCTTTGATGTTGCACTACTAAACTGTATTCTGAAAACCGAGCAATTGACTTAACCTAGCCAGCCCTCGTCTTGTTAGAAATAAGGTATGGTCTGTATAGCTAGCTTAAGGTGTATATTGAGTGTTTAAAACTTGCTCTGCGTTAGATGAGAGAATCTAAATTTAGTACTGTTCTCCATTGCACAGTACAGTGTTCTCTGAATAGTAAACCAAATTTGTATAGCAAATATATTTTTCAAATTAGCTGTACATATAATAAGTGTATATCAGGTCATGTGCAAATATGTAACATCCTGTCTGTGGGAGTTTAGAAACTGTTGGTGTCAGTCAGTGTGAGTGTGAATGTGAATGTGCAATTTCCTCTTATAGTGAAAGTTTTATACTTTCTCTCTTTCTCCTTACTGGATCATCAAAGGGTCTTCCTCCTCATAGTTGTCCTGGAAAAAGAGGGCAGGAGCACAGGGTCGGGAGTGGCTGAGGGTTAGTAAATGGCGAGGCATCTTGTTTAAAGGGATGGAAGGCAGCGGGGCCACTGTGGCTCGCACGCGACTCTGAGACTGCCGACCCTGCCAACCAAAAATGACAAGAGAAAAATTAGAGAGTAAGGAACAGCAAAACATCCAAAAAAACCCCCCTCTATAACAGGATTTGTTTGGTGCGCTTTGTTTTTGACTGCAACCAAAGTCTTGAATGACTTGAATGTCTGTTTAGCTTCTCCTCCAAGCCTAACTGTAAGTGTCATTGTGACCTTCTAACACTTCTCTGTGTATGCAGCTTTAGCCCCTTTAGGCAAAATTTCCTAAAATTGGTTAAACTCTAATTTTGAAACAAATAACGATATGATGTAAAAACAAATAATAAATGGTCATAAGATAAGTTTTTGCACTATTTCTAGGTCACTAATCAAATGAGTAAATTTACATGTGATCATGTGACACTTTGTCCTGATGATCAGATGTTCCATTTCCACTGAAGCTCAGGATGCTCTTTGGATCATCTCAAATCATGCTGGAGTCAGGTTTGACAAACTCCTTATCAACTGGTGGAACTTGCATGCTTTATATAAAATATAAATCACTCCTGTCACATTTGTTCCTCAGTGCACTAGCATAATCACTAAATTTTTTGTGTTTTGAATTTGCAGCATATCGTTCTATCGATCATAAATATATTTATGATAGCGTCACATCACAAAGTCCTTGTGGCTGGAAAATCGGTCATGTTGAGTCTGATTGTGGAGAGTTCCAAAATAGGGACCCGTTTATTTTGACTACTCTATCGTTTTCATTCTCCCTTTTGCTCTTTTTTTTTTGTCTTCCCCTTGCGTGGGTGTTTCAATATTAGGCCAGTGCTTGGTTTCGTTTTTGCTCTCTGGGGCAATAATTTCCCCCTTTCAACATCACACACAAACACACACACTTCCTCTCTATTTATTTGCATTTTAGTTTTTCTACTATTTGTATTCAGATTTAGAGCTCAACTAAAATGGTACAATGTAGAGAGTAGTGTTTGAAAGTTCCTAAAGCTTGACAAACACCTCACCTGATTACATCTCATCTATTTAGGTCAACTTATGTCAACACTACTGACACCGTATCAGAGAGGTTTATCATATCTGTTTTTTATAATGAAGGTATGATAAAACTGTGCATTATTTCTTCAATTTCCCCTAGAGCATCAAGAAGTTAATCAAAAGTCATTTTAATACCAATAATTCTACAGCTATCATCTCCAAATTACTGTCCAAAACTCCAGTTATAGCAAACTGCAGATCAAATACTAGTCAACACAGATCTTCTGTTCTATTCTACTATCTTACACATTTTGTTCCATTCTACTCCTCTAACCTGACGCTGTGTGGAGCCCTCTGGTGGTCGACTGGCGCCCCTGCGATGGCCGCGGCCCTGGCCTTGTGCTCCAAATGGTTGTGATGAGCGGGTGAGCAAACCTCTAATTCTAAGGTGTGGGTAAAGGTTGGAGTCCAGACAGAGAGGGTTAAAGACAGGGTCTTTCTCAAGCTGATCCAGGGAGCTCTGGAAACAGTGGTCACAAGATCATCATAGAGGTGTAATATCAAAGATGATTATGATCAGTTTGTAAAGTGTAAGTGATCTTATTTACTTCATTTCCCCTCAAGTCGTTCCAAACCTGTATGACTTACATTCTACTGTAGACCATAAAAGAAAATATAATTCAGAAAAATGTCTCAGTGCTTTTTTAACCATGCAATACTGGACCTTAACCTTCTTCAACATTCTTCATTTGAAGAAAACATGTTATGACGAGTGGGACGGGGCCGGTGGAGTAAGTGATAATGCACGACACCTGCGCCACTCACCGGTCTCGAGCCCCATGGAGGAGCTCCGGAAGGATAAAAGGAGGAGTGACGACAGTGCAAGACAAGAGAGGACCAGGCCTGGGGCCCATCTTCGTACGTCGCTTATTACATCCGAGATGAAATGTCACATCCAAGATGATATCATCGCGCTAATCAGGATGATTAGTATGGCTGGATTGAGTTATTTGAGATAATTGCACGTTCATGGGTTGGTTTAAAAGGGGCTATGTATCGATACTCGAAACCACGATCAGCAATGCAGCGACTGGCTGGCGGCAAGACAGCAACGTAATGACATCATATAATTAAAAAGACACCTGATGAAAACCTTGGCAAATTTCTGGACTTTTATAAGGAAACAGCCAAGCCAACAAAACTACATAAATGTTATAATAGATAAATGAAATGTGTTTTTATCTTATTTACATTTTTTACATGATTCCCAATTATTTATATTCATGATTTCCAATTTTTGTACAGGCTTTGCATTTTTATTTCAACGTAGCAATTAGCAATTCATTTAATTTTATATTTGAACAGATTTGTTATGTGACAGCATTATTTAAAGTTTCTTAAGGGTCAATATCATGTTATCTGCATCCCCTGCGCTCCATCAAGCCACTCCCATAATATCTGTCACCATTCAAATGAATGCACAACTCTACATTATCTGTATAACGTGTGTAAGACTTGAATACAATTATGAAGTAATCATTTTATGACGAATAAATATTTCAGTGAGTAAAACTGGCTGTGTCTATAGTATTAAAGACTACACAACATTATTATATTATCTTTAAATACATTTTTAAATGATTATTATTTTAAATATTATTATTGTCCCTGGATCAGTAGGATAACTCTGGTGGTAGCGGACATATTTTAAGTATAAGTTCTGCTTAAAACGATGCAGTCTAATCCTGTTTACATGAAATAAGCCTGCTCCCGAGCAGGTTTAAGTTTACGGACCTCTTGCTCTGACAGCAACTCCGGGATGAGCTTCAAAGAATCAAATAATCCAAGATCATGCCAAATCGTCAACAATCAAATCCAGCTTACTGAGTTAGCAACGTACGAAGAACGGGCCCCTGGACTTTATTTTGTGTTTTGGTTGTTTGTGAGCGGCAGTCGTCCGTGAGGGGCTGTCGTGGTATTTTGTGTTTGTTTATTTTATTATTAAAGTTTTGTTTAAATGTTCGCCGGTTCCCGCCTCCTTCTTCCCCATCTACAAACTTTGTTACACAAGTCATACAGGTTTAAAGGCCCATTCACACCAAGCACGACAACGATAAAGATAACTATAAAGATTAGTTCTAAAAATCGTTCTCAATATTAAAGAATAGGAGAATCCACACCACAGCTATAACGATCAAGGCACAGAGAAACGATATCGTTTTAATCACTTCCAGAATAATTTTTTTTCAGCTGATGAATGATAAAAACATTGACAACCAATCAGAACTCATCCTGCTATAACGAGATCGATAATTTAAAGCAGCAGACGAGCATGCGCTTACAGATGATATCGTTGGCTGGTGTGGACGCTAATAGCTTTATAGTTATCATTCTTGGTGTGAACGGGGCTTAGAGTGACATGAGGATTAGTAAATGATGACAGAATTGTTATTTTAGGATGAACTATCCCTTTTATAAAACTAATTATTCTCATTACAGAGATCCAGTTGCTGATGCTAAATATTAGAATTGAGTTGTGTTTGAGCCATTCAGTGAATTTTACACCAAGTTTGTATGTAAGGGCAATGCACTACTAGTCTATAATGTAATGGTACCTCCACAGAGGCAAGTGCAGGAAGTGGTGGGTCCTCCATTGAGACAGGCAGGCAGCAGGGTAGCGTAAGTTCTCGTGTCAGCACAGGTTTCAAAAGCAGAGAGAGTGAACCAGAGGACTGAAGTATATAGTAGGAAAACACAGCAGAACCTGAACCTGACCCAGACTCTGAGCGCACCAAAAGGAACCAGTCACGGGTCTAAGTAAACAAAAATATTCAGGTTTTTAACAACATTTTCAGATCCCTTACATAACAGATTATCACACAGCTGTGCTCTATGAACACACACAAACAAACACACACAGTCAGACACTGACTTTTAGTATGTGGCAGAGAGCATGAAATGTCTGTTGGTTTGTTTCCATTTCATCCCAGTCCAGCTGCCAGCATGAGGTTGGTTTGATGATGAGTGGTAGTCCATACAGCACAGACTGACACACTCCACTGGCATGAAGAACTCTACATCACACACACACACACACACACACACAACAGCAAAATCTGAATGTTTATTTTTTAGATTGATGCTTAATTATTGTATTAAACTATTAGTATTATTACTATTAATACTAAAATAAAATAATTGTTTTCTATTTTACTATATTTAAAAATGAATTTTCAAAAGCCTTTACTCCAGTCTACAGTGTCACATCATCCTTCAGAAATCATTCTAATATGCTGATTTGGTACAATAAGAAAGTAATATTTCTTATTATCATCAACATTGAAAACAGTTGTGCTGCTTGATATTTTTGTGGAAGCCATGATACATTGATATCAGGATTATTTGATGAATTGAATGTTTGGAAAAGAACAGTATGTAATCAAATCCGAAATCATTTTAACTTCTGCCACTTTTGACTAATAGAATGCACCCTTGTTGAATAAAAGCATTAATTTCTTAAAAGAGGTAAACGTCTCACAAACCCTGTCTGAGTAAAACTGACAAAAAGATGCACGTGTGTGAAAGGGAATTATGCAAGTATATTGGCCCATAATGACTAGGTGGGGACAAGTAGTATGATTGTTTCACAGTGCCCGGAAGAATGACCTCATGTGCATGAAAATCATATGCAAAACTCTCAAGGGGAATACAATGTATGACTGTGTGTGGGACACAGAAGACTCAAACACAGAGCTGTCTGTTTGATAAAAACCTGACTCCATCATATTGACTTTTGCATAGTCCATTTTTTTCTTCTCCCCTTCACACTCACACAGCATACTTGTACATTAACTATATTTCAGAGTTGTTGTGTTTCTGTTGAATATACTGTATATGAACATAGTCATCAATATTGTGGACTTTCTTAGATCTGTGATATATTAAAAATATACAACATCACAGCAGTCTGGGAACTCTGATTAAACCCTATTCACAAAAAAAGTCAAAGTGATGCTTAAAGGGGTCATGTGATGCGATTTCAATTTTTCCTTTCTCTTTGAAGTGTTACAAGCTCTTGGTGCATAAAGAAGATCCTTCATCGAATCCGCTGGCCGCCGCTCACTCAAGGCCGCTGTGTGTGACGCTGTATGTTTCGTTGTGAAAGTGAAACTGCTTTGTTTGGCCTTCCAAAAGAGGACACGACTAGATTTAAGTTAGATTTACTAGTTAAGTTGTATTTACAACACTGTTCCAGAACAGTTCAACCCAAATATTCAGATGTGTGCATCACATTTTATGGAGGACTGTTTCCTGATCCTGGGAGAGAAGACTACAATGCCGGCTGTTCTGACTCAGACTGTAAGTACGTTTTTTATTTATAAAGAATTTGCCACTGACGATTCAAACGTGAGTTTTGAGCAGTGTAGAGTAGCACTTGTTGTTTGTCATTTCTCCGATCACAAATGCAGACATGGTTTTATGTTTACGCGGCGTGATGCAACGCGTAAAAAGACAGTACAAGTCATTATAATCCGTAATTATGTCCTCACTGGATGCAACAAATGCCTCGTTTATAATGGGTTTGAATGTTTTTGTCTCATCGCTCCAGCTGGACAGGGCATCACATTATGGTAAGGGGCGTAACATTTCCGTCACATGCTTGAGGTATTTGGCCAATCACAACGCACTGGATAGCTGGCCAATCAGAGCACGCCTCGCTTTTCAGACCGATGAGCTTTGTAAAAATCGACACATTTCAGAAAGGCGGGGCATAGAGGAGAAACAATAATGTACAGTATGTGGAAAATAATGTGTTTTTTAACCTTAAACCGCATAAATATTTCATTACAACAAATACACAAAATAATGTTCTTTTTAGCAACATCATATGACCCCTTCAAGGCTAATCTATTGTTATTTACTTAAACAAAATATAACTACAGATATGACTGTACTTGACGACTCGCAGACACTGCGGCGAGGGGTTCTGTTTGGCCAGATTCTTGTTTGGGGGCTGGAAATCTTGCATGCTCTCAGTCTTCGCTCCAAGGTCAGGCGTGCTGGGAAGTAGGGCTGGGCTGAGAAGTCTCTCCTGCATGTCACACTTCAAACAGACTGCAGAGGGGGACATGAGCATAAGCAACATCACCTACCCATCCATTATACAGGTGCATCTCAAATAAATTAGAATGTCATGGAAAAGTTCATTTATTTCAGTAATTCAACTCAAATTGTGAAACTCGTGTATTAAATAAATTCAATGCACACAGACTGAAGTAGTTTTGTTCTTTTAATTGTGATGATTTTGGCTCACATTTAACAAAAACCCACCAATTCACTATCTCAACAAATTAGAATACTTCATAAGACCAATAAAAAAAACATTTTTAGTGAATTGTTGGCCTTCTGGAAAGTATGTTCATTTACTGTACATGTACTCAATACTTGGTAGGGGCTCCTTTTGCTTTAATTACTGCCTCAATTCGGCGTGGCATGGAGGTGATCAGTGTGTGGCACTGCTGAGGTGGTATGGAAGCCCAGGTTTCTTTGACAGTGGCCTTCAGCTCATCTACATTTTTTGGTCTCTTGTTTCTCATTTTCCTCTTGACAATACCCCATAGATTCTCTATAGGGTTCAGGTCTGGTGAGTTTGCTGGCCAGTCAAGCACACCAACACCATGGTAATTTAACCAACTTTTGGTGCTTTTGGCAGTGTGGGCAGGTGCCAAATCCTGCTGGAAAATGAAATCAGCATCTTCAAAAAGCTGGTCAGCAGAAGGAAGCATGAAGTGCTCCAAAATTTCTTGGTAAACGGGTGCAGTGACGTTGGTTTTCAAAAAACACAATGGACCAACACCAGCAGATGACATTGCACCCCAAATCATCACAGACTGTGGAAACTTAACACTGGACTTCAAGCAACTTGGGCTATGAGCTTCTCCACCCTTCCTCCAGACTCTAGGACCTTGGTTTCCAAATGAAATACAAAACTTGCTCTCATCTGAAAAGAGGACTTTGGACCACTGGGCAACAGTCCAGTTCTTCTTCTCCTTAGCCCAGGTAAGACGCCTCTGACGTTGTCTGTGGTTCAGGAGTGACTTAACAAGAGGAATACGACACCTGTAGCCAAATTCCTTGACATGTCTGTGTGTGGTGGCTCTTGATGCCCTGACCCCAGCCTCAGTTCATTCCTTGTAAAGGTTAACTCAAATTCTTGAATCAATTTTGCTTGGCCATCCTCATAAGGCTGCGGTTCTCTCGGTTGGTTGTGCATCTTTTTCTTCCACACTTTTTCCTTCCACTCAACTTTCTGTTAACATGCTTGGATACAGCACTCTGTGAACAGCCAGCTTCTTTGGCAATGAATGTTTGTGGCTTACCCTCCTTGTGAAGGATGTCAATGATTGTCTTCTGGACAACTGTCAGATCAGCAGTCTTCCCCATAATTGTGTAGCCTAGTGAACCAAACTGAGAGACCATTTTGAAGGCTCAGGAAACCTTTGCAGGTGTTTTGAGTTGATTAGCTGATTGGCATGTCACCATATTCTAATTTGTTGAGATAGTGAATTGGTGGGTTTTTGTTAAATGTGAGCCAAAATCATCACAATTAAAAGAACCAAAGACTTAAACTACTTCAGTCTGTGTGCATTGAATTTATTTAATACACAAGTTTCACAATTTGAGTTGAATTACTGAAATAAATTAACTTTTCCACGACATTCTAATTTATTGAGATGCACCTGTAAGCAGACACACAAAACAAAACACAAGCTTAAAGGTGCTGCATGTATGATTGACACCGAGTGGTTGAACTAGGTATTGCAGTCAAAATATAAATAAAATACAGTAAAATAAGTAAAAATATTGGAGAGGGTTTTTTTCACCCGGCCCCTCCTCCTCAAACTAACACGCAGGTTGCCAGATTGACGACACCAACTGGAACGAGCGCACTTGACGATGAATGAAATGAAATACGCTCTGTTTTCCACCAAATGGCAACCCGGGGTGACGAAATACAATTGGGTAAACTGGCAGTGGGCGAGTTTCACAGACCAAAACAGAGACCAACATTCCGGCCCGGAACGCACATTTTCAAAGGAGAATAACTGACTGTAGCATTGTTTTTCAGATAAACAAGTATGTTAACTTAGCATGTTTCTTAAATATCTGCAAACATATTATGGTATTTTTATGCTTTAGTAGAGTCAAAAACTTACATACAGCACCTTTAACTAAAATATTCATTTTGGATAGGGGTGCACCGATTCAATATTCAGTATCGGTATCGCACAGGTGCTGGCATTTACTGCCGGTGTTCTGTCGATTTGTGCTACCTGTCAGATTTTGCTACCTCCCATTAAAACAGTGGGTAGTACAATTCGACAACAAAAAATGCTATCTGTAAAATGATGGTTTATTAACGTCTACTCCTACCACAACCCTAAACCTACAGTAATGCAAATACAGTAATTATGTGTTATATTCACGATTGTAGCTAGAAGGGATACAGCTACAGGAAACCAACAACAAATAATTTTTTCGACCTATTAGATTGTTTTATTAAAGACTACACCTATCCCAACCCTAAACCTACCCGTACAGTAATGCAGATACATGAAATATTGTTGTTCAGCATGAGAAAAAGGACGCAATATTGATGTGCGCATGCCCAGTAAACCCTTGTAGGACAATCTGACGGATAGGATAAAATGTCAGGACACCGGATCGGTTATCGGTCAGACGAGACAGATCCAAATACGATATTCTGCGTATACTATTCTGTGTTATTGTTAAGCCATACGATAGCCACAAAAACTTAAAGCACCATAACATTTCCGTGCACTATATTCCAAGTGTTCTGAAGCCGTTCCACAGTTTAATGTGAGGTACAGATGACTATTCAAGTCAAGTTGACGTAAACTCTTCTCTCCGCTGCGGCTGTGTCATCTCTTCCATTCAGCATTCAAACTGCGTGTCGTGTTCGGTTACGACAGCCAAGACGAAGAAACTCTCTCTAAGATGATTAAATGTTCCTAATATTATACTTGATCTGTAAATAAAGATAAATGGTTTTCCATAAAAGCACTTTATCTTGCTGGAGTTTCGTTTTGTTTCTAAATCGTGTTCATTTCTACCGTGTTAGATCACAACACTGGAGTAGAGAGCACTATGAATTGTTCTTCACAAGGACAGTAACTGAGATTTAAAACTGTTAAAAGAAAAGGCTCAATAAATATAATATTATATAAAAAGAAATATAATATTGCACAGTTTTAATACACTATGCATCAATATCTCTTCCCTTTGTGCTTTGAACTTTTCTATGCGGAGCGCTGTGCCTGCGCGCTGTGACTCGGGATGCGCATAAGCGCTTTGTGCCACTCTGGATTGGAGCCTTTCGTATCATAATACTTTAGCACAATGACAGATTATTAATAGCCTTTCTTGTTCGTCTTATCTATCCTATGTTGCTGTCCTTACATTTAAAAGAAATGTCTTTTAATTTTATAATAGGCCCTATCTATTTATATATAAATATATTACTTTTTTTCATGAATGTATTTTACAACCATACAAAGAGCAATGTGTAACATTTTACCAGATTTAGTCCAAAACTTATTCACTTTTATTTGTTCCCCACTATATAGTTTTTTTTTTCACTAAAAGTTTAGATTTTATAAAATTATTGTGCACTCATGATTTTTCTAGAGTAACTTTTGCTACTGAATTATCCGCTAACCTAATTTATAGTAGTATTTTTGTCATAGATTATGATTATAGCCTATATATTTTACATTCGTCATTTTTTCTTTATAAGAAAGTTGTCTATATTTAGTAGATTGAGACACACAAAAGAGTGATGATCAGTTCAACACACATTGAGGTAGAAATTCTATACTGATTAAAAAAACTGCACTGTATCGGATCGGTATCGGCCGATACTCCAAATGTTTGGTATCGGATCGGGATCGGTTCTGAAAAAATGGTATCGAGCCACCCCTAATTTTCGAGCTGTGAACAGCAAAAAATTGATTTCCGAATGAATATTTTAGTGGGTGATCATGCAGAATCCATGAGTGTGTTTCTACCTGGACTTGGCCTGTTGTTGCCAGGGTGTGGTGTAGAACCCTGTGATGTGAGAGAAGCGGGTAACAACAAGTGCAGGTGTTCTCTGTCTCCGCCCTGGTCATGTAGCCACATTTTCAGAGAGTTCTCCAAGGCCACAACTGTGCCCTCCACCAGCTGCAGATCCATCTCTGTACCCAGCATCAGGCTCTCTACAGGAGGAAGAGAAAGAAACTTTATATGGATAAATATCACATTCCTGTTTCCTGGCAGCATAATTAATCATCGGTTCATAATAAAACGGCAGATTAAATCCAGGAAGTGTTAAACCTTGACCTTCCTCCTGTTTCTTTATTATTATGGCCCTTTTGTGATGTTTAGCCTCTGAACTCAGCTTCATTCTACAGATAAAAACATCTGGCGAACAGCAATTTGTGAAAACCTATGTCCTGTCAGACAAAGGTTGTGGTAGTCAAAACAACCAGTAGAGGGTGCTGTCAAATCAATTTTGTATCTCATCAAGGTTAACCATTTCCAAAAAAAACTTGAAATCTCAAAATGTGCTTGTACTTATGTGATATGTATTTTTGCGAATATTTTGCTGTTGTTTTAAGCTCAGTAATCTAAATTTGTAATGTAAACCAGAATCCAGTTTCACGGTACTGTATATGGTGGCTCAAATGTCTAACTAAAATGTTGAAAGTAAATAACGTAAAATTATGACAGTAAATTATGAATGATTACTTAATGTCTCATAATACAAATATTATATATGTAAGTACATAAATGTAAGTTAATGCCTTTAATGTCTTGCATAAAATTATGGCATTACACAATCACTCTTGACAACTTTCTTCAGTGAAACATGAAAGGAGAAACTTTGAAGATTGTGCTGCTTGCTATTTTCCATCCACTGACAAAGAACAGGAACCAAAGCTTACAAGCATCAAAAGGATGCAAAGCACCATAAAAGTATAGTGTATTATAAAAGTGTTTCAAACAACTTGGGCAATATTCCAAGTCCTCTGAAGCCACATGACAGCTTCATACTGATTAGCCACAACATTAAAACAACCTGCCTAATATCGAGTTCCCCTCATGCTGCCAAAACATCCCTGATGCGTCAAGGCATTGAATCCACAAGACCTCTGAACGTGTCCTGTGGTATCTGGATCCAAGACATTAGCAACAGGTCATGTAAGTCCTGCACATTGTTGAGGTGGGGCCTTCGTGGAACAGATCTGTTGGTCCAGTACATCCCAAAGATTCTAAATCGGATTGAGATCTGGGAAATCTGGACATCAAGGCAATGTATAACAATATAATCAATGTTATTCACTTCACCTGTCAGTGGTTTTAATGTTGTGGCTGATCAGTGCTGATGAACAGACCAAAATATAAACAACGTTTATTCCTTTTATCAAATCATTCAGACCAATAGTCCTTAAAGTCATGATGAAACAGAAGTGCAGATCTTTTCTTCTGTAGTGTGGCATGCATCTGACTGTAATAGATTATCGGAAAATAAAAAATGTAGGGGGATGGGATTCTATACATCAGTTATTGATTGGATTTTGAAATGTAGGTGGTGAATTCGTCCTGTCATGAGGTCAAAAAAATTCTAAAAAAAAAAAAAGATCTAAAATATGCATTTAGAAAATAAGGTGAACATTCATTTCATGCTTAAAATTGAAACTTAAATGTATGTTAACAATCACTGCCACTCTCTCCGGACTCTTGAGTCCCTCTAAATGATTAATGTGCTCTCAGCACATGGGGTTTCACAGTACATCTTTAATATTTCATTCACAAACAAACTCTAAGTGGCAGAAAACCCTGATAGCTGGAGTAAGAGAAGGAGAACAATCTCAACTGTGACAATTGCTGTCATGGGAATTTAAGATGGAAAGAAAATCTGGTGCATTTTCAGACCAACAAAACACAATGATGCAGTTCAGGATAATTGCTTTTTGGGGTTTTTAAATTAGGGGAGAACATGATCTCCTGTATGCCATATTCAGCTCAAATCAACCTAGCAACACTTGCATGTTTTTGGTGAACATGCATTCTAAACAGAAGGTTAAACAAACTCTCAGGGTCAAATAGCTGCATTTAAATCAATTAGATACAATTTATTAAAAGTAATTGCTTATTCCAATGCCTCCAAACAAACTGTCAGCCTATATTGGAATTAATTTCTACTGTATCATTGAGTCAAATGTGCACTAATGAGGTGCAGAACAGTTTAGGTCAGCAGTCCTTAAATTTGAGTTCTGAATAAATACAGCCGATATGTGCATCTCAGCACTCTGTTGCTCATATCCAGTAGATTTGGCCCAGATGGAGAGGGTGAGAAAAATGCAAGTGTGAATGGAGAGAGTAAAAGGCAATGACACACATCCCCCGTATCACTTCCATTTGACACATATCTTGCATCTAGAGATGCCACTTCTGTTGTCATCTTCATTCATTTTTCGTATCAAACTATGATTCATCAAGGTATCAAAGCAACATTGCCCTTTTCAGTTGTATTACAGTCCCATTAAAATGTGCTTGTTGTATTACTATTTAAAAGCCACTTCATTCTTACCTCATGATCATTTTATTCACAAGTTTATAGACATATTCATTCAGTTGTAAGAGCTCTGCTTAAATCATTTTTGAGTAGGGATGTAATGATTAACCGCGAGCCGTTTGAAAATCGATTTAAATATGTAACGATTCAAATCGGCTGAGATGCTAATCAAATCGCGATTCAGTTAGGGGCAGGAGTTTATATGAATGTATGTCTGAGGGGAACTTACAGTCTTTCGATGGTATTTTTTCTTTTCCTCTTGCCTCTGTAAAATGCATATCAGTGCTCCAGACTCATTCTTCCCACTGGTCGCTCTTTTGTAACTAACTTTCTCAGCTGGTCGCACGAGCACATGATTTGGTCGCAATATTTTTTAATTTTTTTTGCGTTACAACATGGGATTAGTCAATGCATGCTGATGAACTTTTATCATAGTTTATAGTTATATGGAAACAAGTTGTTAACATTCAACCCATTCTTTATCATCAGTAGTATTATTTGTGATTTGAATTTTGTGAATGGGAGTTTCTCTAAGGCGCGGGCTTCGGATGCTTTCACTTTCGAATTCGCAATCTTGTTGTCACTGTTTTGCTTGCATACATCTACACACCTTTCATTTTTTAAGACTAAAACAAAAGATGGATTCATTGTTATTCTTAGTCAAAAAGCACAACAACAATAAATCAGTAAGATACAAAGAAAAACTAGCTTGCAAAACGTTTATTAACAAAAACCATGGCACACACCACATGCTGTATTATATACCGACTAATCAATTACAGAACGTTTAGCAAACACTGAGGAATCAAATAAATAAATAAATAAATAAAAGAGAGCCTCCATAGCTTAAGGTAAACAGCAAAGATAAGTTTTTCAAAAATGAAAACAAAAAGAAAAGTAAAACTAACGGTGACAGTGCTTGCAGAAATTGAAGCGCTTATGAGTTGACCAACGCGGTGGTTGCACCAGTGCGACCGCACACAAAATTTAGTCGCACAGGCAGAAAAAATGGTTGCAGTCTGGAGCCCTGCATATTAAAGGTGTAATAGGTGATTGTCTTCAGAAACATTTTTTTGTTATGCTGGCTGAAAGTCTCTTCACATCCCGATAGCAATCATTAAGTTAAGTGGTCTAAATGTATTCATCTGTATTTATATATTTTGTGGAAGCAAAGGAAATGGGACCAAGAAATGTTCGTCCAATCAAAACGCTCGGTCCGAGCGTTTTAATAAGCTTTCCTACCTGCCTGTCAACTTATGTACCTGCATACCTCTGCGCACCTGGTTCACGCAGACAGGACACGTCATCAGCGCGTTCACGCACGCTGTGCAGACAGAGCGAGGATGGCAGGCAAACATCAACAACCCGATCTTCCTTCCTGGTATTGTAGTACTTTTAAAGTTTTCTCACTTGTTCACAGCAGAAACGAAGGAAGTGCTTAAAGCACCACCTGCTGGCAGAGAGTGAATCTGTGTCTCATTCAGCTCGTCCGCTGTTTCATGCAGCTATTTGTTATGTATAGTTTCACAAAACTGAAGTCAAACCATTCTGTTTTTGCTTCAAATTTAGAAATTATACAATGTAATTTAGATTAAAAACTGCTCATGTTGCATGTATGCAGCATCTTTGCTTGGATCATGATTAAAATGCAGTGGTTGTCTTTATTTGCAGAGATTTATTTTATTTGTGTTACTTATTTGATTTGGGGCTTGTTTTAAATTTTTTATTTAGTTTTGTTATTTACATTTACATTAAATTAAAATTTTGTTATTGAGCAAACGCTTTTATCCAAGGCGACTAACAAATGAGGACAATAGAAGCAATCAAAACCAACAAAAGAGCAATAATATGCAAGTGCTATATTAGTATATTATTATAGTGTTATATTTCAATTTCACAAAGAAACATACAGTATTTTGTCTAAGCAATAATAAAAGGACACATTTAATTTATAATTTGTCTAAAATATAATTTTGTTTAAAAAAACGTGAATCGAATCGTGAAATCAAAATCGTGAATCGAATCGAATCGTGAGTTGAGTGAATCGTTGCATCCCTATTTTTGAGCAGTGTCTATAAGCTATGCCTTTAACAGTTTCTATGGGGTGCTAATGTAATGTAATGTATTAATAACCTAAACCATGTCATTGGCCTAGCAACCCCTTGTTTTTGCTTGGTAAAGGAGAAATTTAAAGGGGTCATATGATGTTGCTAAAAATAACATTATTTTGTGTATTTGGTGTAATGAAATGTGTTTATGCAGTTTAAGGTTAAAAAAACACATTATTTTCCACATACTGTACATTATTGCTTCTCCTCTATGTCCTGCCTTTCTGAAACGCGTCGATTTTTACAAAGCTCATCGGCCTGAAAAGCAAGGACGTATGTTACGTCCCTACCATATTGTGATGATGCCCTGTCAGGCCGGAGCGATGATTCAAAAACATGAAAACCCATTATAAACGAGGCATTCGTTGCATCCAGTGGGGACATAATTATGGATTATAATGACTTATACTGTTTTTTTACGCGTTGCGTTGCATCGCGCCTCGTAAACATAAAACCATGTCTGCATTTGTGATCGGCGAAATTACAAACAACAAGCACTACTCTACACTGCCCAAAAAACTTGCTTTAA